TACGAAAGTTGGTTATTTATCAGTTAGTTTGTTATTTTCTGTTTCTTTTAGTTTATTAGTGTATCCAATAAATGAATTGTTTTTACATGTTTATCATCCAACTCCATTATTGGATCGGTTTATGGTTATTGGAAGCTCTCTTTGTCGTTGAATTTTGATATATTATATCTTAGTAAAAAAAAAAATCTATCTAATGAACATGGATAAAAAATTGAAAGAAAAAAAAAAGTAAAAATGAACTGCTTTAATCATATAATAAGAAAAGAATGAATAAAAAGAACGGGATAACAACAATTTTCCACCCAAGGTTTGGCCTAACGGCATTTTCTCACTCAAAAAGTTTAAAAAAGACACTTTCTCACTCACCGTTAAGATATGTTAGTGAAATATGTTTTGAAGAAGGGCAAAATGGTCAATTTACATAAAGCTGCAAAAATCAACATTTAAAAATTGAAATCTCAATCTGACGACAAGTTACGGCAACGACTGAGCAAAAAAAAAAAAGGTTAAAAGCGGCGACTGGCGACTATTTACGACATCAAGTGGGAAAATGGGATTAGGATTTTGGGTTTATATAAAAAAGGTCAAGTTATAGTGTTGATCATCCCAAAAATATTTCTCCTTATACTCCTATTGCAAAGGGTTCTTACCCTATAGTTTAGAGATTTTTTGTATTCTCTTTATTTTGGGTATTTGTAATATTCTTCAAGAATAGTAAAAATTTTCTACACCACCTGAGGACATAGGTAACAATAACGAACCTCATTAATTTTTTGATATTCTTTATTTTTGCATTTATTGTAGTCATTTATTTCTACTCCAGTAGTGTTATTATTATATTTTAACAACTAGCGTTAGAATTTGTGTTTCTGCTACACAACACTAATAAATGGAGTTAATAGATCACTTTCTATATAAAATACTTGAAGTTAAGAGAATCAATGAGATATATTTGCAATACGAAACTCTTTACTTTTTATTAGTGCCCACAACTGCGAGCACCAACATTATAATGCTGGCTCTTGGGGCATAGATCAAATATGATTTATATTAGTGCTCATCAAAATATGCTTTATTAGTGCTCATCAATATTATACTTACTAACATAATGAACTAAAATATATCAACTAACAGCAGAGTTTATTTACATAAACTAAATATACAGCTAACTATATAATCAATAAAGTCAAACTCAGTTCACCAATGGGCTTCAGAATCTACACATTTAACTTCAAATGGTTGATTGCATTAGATTGTGAAGGCAAAGTCGAGGAAACATCCAGGAGATAAGCAATTTGGTGATACCGCGTGCTTTACTTAGACAAATTCTCAAAAGCCAAAATATATGACCTTCTTATTGTTAGTGGACGTGACCTTTTTAGTGTTAGTGGCCATGACTTCGTTTGCTGTTGAGAGATATATGTACAAATTTTCATGTTGCTTACATATCAGTCTCCAACATCCACTAACATTAATTGTGGATAATAAAGTTGGTTTAATTCTACTGTGTTTGAGAAAATTAAGGATCTGCTTGGTTCATTATTCTGATAGTTCTTAGAATGATATTTTGAAAAAAGTTAAATTGGGCGGGTATTACGATGTAGGATTTGAAAATTAACAAAAATATCCCCTATGTTTATTTATTTACTAAACACCCCTATAATAAAATATTAAAAGTTAACAAAAATACCCTTAACCCACCCATTAAATACGGACAGCCGACCACCACCGCCGGAGGGTGGCCGGAGTATTTTTGCAATTTCTAAAAAAAATATTTGGGGGTGTTTAGTTAAATTAACAAATTTAGGAGGTTTAAAAAATTGAAAAATATAGAATAATATTTTGGGAATAATGACATTTTACTGTTTAACTTTTTTGGGAATACTATAAACGAAGCCTAACTTTCTTGTCAAGCAATACATATAAATACACGAGGCGAGGGAATGAAATTGCGCAACTTAATTCTATAAATAGGGAGAGCCAAATATCATCAGCAATATAAAGCATGCATTTCTCCAATGATTTGAGGGTTTTTTTCCATCGTGGCTAAATATTTTCATTTTCTTTCTATTAATATGGGTTCAAGAGACAATTAAAAAGGAAAAGCAAAACTTTACCTGCTCCACTTAGTTTAATTTGGCTTCACGTAATTGCTTTGTACTTCATAATATTAGTGCTAGTGCTAATAATTTTCGGCAAATAATATTAGTGTTAAGAGTGTGCATGCACTAAAAGAAGTGAATAATTTGAACTAGTTAATTGTCTCTATTAAGATTGTCTGTGGGGAGAAAAGGAGACATGGGCATCATCATTCATCATTTTGTTCACAAACAAACGTCAAATAATTGAAGTTAAGAGACCCATACGTAAGTCTTTACTTTTTATTAGTGCTAAAACTTTTTCGTTTATTTGTATTACTTGAAAAAGTTTCTCAAACACAGTAGAATTAAACCAACTTTATTATCCACGGTTAATGTTAGTGGATGAAGACTGGACTGCTATATATGTTACAAGTATGGAGGCAACATGAATCTAGCTATGCGTTTAGCACTAATAAAAGGTAAGTAGTTTCTCGTCAACTTACTTAAGATGTGTATATATATATATATTAGTTGAAGGCCTTGGGATATGTAAGTTCCCATTGTTTCCATGTCCGAATGCACTTATTTTCTCTGCTCTTTCATCTTGTCATCATAACAAAACTTCCAATGCCATGCCTCAGGAATTAAGTCCAGCAACTTCACACTAGCTACTTCGCTTATTGGCTCTGTAATTCATAAGGTTTGGTCACTTTGGTATCTGTACATAATTATATACATGCTCTAGTTTCATTTCTTGACATTCCAGTTGTTTAATTAGTCTCAATCCTTCTCTGGAAGTGGAACCTGCCTGATTTTGCTGTTTCTGGGTTGTTTGGTTTCACTTTCTACTGTGTTTGAGAAAATTTACTTTCTTGATTCTTGTCAAAGCAATACATATAAATATACGAGAGAGGGCACACTGTCTCTGTAATTTTCTCGGGGAATGAAATTGCGCGACTTAATTGTATAAATAGGGAGAATTATTCGTCCAAATATCATCAGCAATAGAAAGCATGCATTTCTCCATTGATTTGAGGTTTTTTTCCCCACCGTTGCTAAATTTTTTCATTTTCTTTCTATTAATGAAACCTCAAGTTGAAAACATTCTTTAATACCCATTTCTATTTATCTTTCTATTGATTTTTGCTCTTCTTTTACTACTAGCTTTCCTCTTCACACCCATCACACTCTCTTTTAGTATGAGCCATTCTATCTTCTTACGTCCTAGAAATTTTTCTCTTATCTTAGTTTTGTCAATCCTGGAGTCATTCTTTTTACCACCCTCACATTTCTTAGTAGCCTATTTGTTTCTCATTATCTTATCTCCATGCTATGCATTGCTATGGAGTCTAATTCAATGTTTCTTCAACTGCCTTCTTCACACTCTACGATCACTTCTAACCATCTTCATCACTTGGGTCAACCAAAACCAAGAAAACTTAGAACTGGCTCTTGCTACAGTTGAAGAGATTGAAGGACTTGAAGTAGGAGGTAACTTAATCGAGCATGAGCTAGAGCAAGTTGAGATTCATAAATAGGCAATTAGTGTCTTTGTAGAGAAAGGGTGATGGTTAATTTGTCATGCTATTATATTGTGTATGTATTTTCTATTTCTTTTACTTTATTAATGTATTCAATAAAGGAATTGTTTTTTACATGTTTATCATCCAACTCCATTGGATCAGTTTATGGTTACTGGAAGCTATCTTTGTCATTGGATTTTGATATATTATATCTTAGTGAAAAAGAAAATTTATATTCGCCGTTGGATTGCACCTATCTAATGAACCTGGATAAAAAATTGAAAAAACAAAAAGTAAAAATGAACTACTTTAATCATAATAAGAAAAGAATAAACAAAAGAACGGGATAACGACAATTTCCCACCCAAGGTTTGGCCTAACGACAATTTCTCACTCAAAAAGTTAAAAAAAAAACACTTTCTCACTAAGATATATTCTCAAAAAGTTTAAATATATACTCTTTTAGCATATATTTAAGATGTCTGGGTCAACTTATGCGTATCTCGATCTCGATCTCAACTAATCTTTGAGGTATCGAACCTGAGACCATGCGTCTATCCACGCTATTCTCAATTCACCCTAACCATCTAAGCTACTCACGGATGGATAAAAAATCCACTAACCTTTCTTTGTGAACCGAATTCAAAATTAGAGTTTTCATCAACTCTTACAATTTTTTCAGAAGGAGAAAATAATAATCTTGAGTCATATAAGTACTAATCATAGAAGGACTCAAACCATATACTATAAGGGAGTAAACCACAACATATTAAAACAATCTATTTTCTTTTAATTTGTGTTTAAATCCACTTTAATCATGCATCGTGTTGCTACATATGTTAACATTTTTTTCAAATAAAAATTAGATTAGATTGATTTATAAATTTCAAGAATCAAATCGGTTTTTTTTCCGTGAAATCGCTTAATATGGAATCCATCCGCTATTATTGAAATGTATTATATATCCATATTAAGGTTTTTTTTCATATTTTTATGCAATACTTTTTAAAAATAGCCTATGGTTAATTAAATAAAATAAACCCTTTTTTAATTTTATGTAATACATAGTACCGAAATTAAAAAAAATAAAATAAAATAAAATAAAACAAATAAAAGTCTAAAATAAAGAGAAAGTCAAACACATAGTCAAACCGGATGACCCGTACACCATTACGGAGTCGGAGCTCCGTTTAACCAAACCCAAATACCCTGATTTCCTTCACTTAAACGCTCCCAACTCCAAAGTCTTACTATTATATAGCCGTTAGAAACAAATCAAAAGCTTTCAAATCCAACGGCTAACATTCATTTCAATTCAAAATCAAATCCTCTCTGTCGCTCCATTTAACGTTCCAAATCTCTCTCTCACTCTCTCTCTCTCTCTCTCTCTAAAATTCGTAATTTTGTTTTCAAAATCATCAAACTCTCAATCTTTTTTCAACAAATCAGACGGTGGAAATGGAATCCGAGCAATGCGAACACCACTGCGATTCAAACTCAGGTTCGTTCTGGTTCTCAATTCAAGAAATTTGTTCTTTTTTTGTTGTAATTTGGTGAAAGATTTGATTTAATTTCATAATTAGTTCTTGTTTTCTTTGTTTTAAGAACATATTGATTTCGTGTTTACCTGTTCTCTAAATGTGTTTTCTTGCTTCTTTTTTTCGATTTTCTCTCTTTTTTTAATTCCAGATCAAACCGTAAAGAGCGAAACTCCTGATTCAGGTTAGTTTTTTTTGTGAAATTTAGTAGTAAATGTTAGAATTGTATTTGTTTTTGTGTGATGAAATGAATGTGGATATGAGTTTTGTATATTCTTGATATTATCCTTTCTTCTATCTAGGGTTTTTAAGTGTAATGTTTGGTTGCTGGGAAAGTAAAAAATCAACTTCTTATTTTTTTGCCTAATAATTTTTTTGGTATTGTGAAGTTTTGTTTTGTGTAACTGACTGAAGTTTAATGTTCAATTGGGTCTCTAAAAGATGAAATCATGTGATTTAAAAACATTATTTTTTNACCTAGCAAAACGGGTCCAGACCCGCGGGTCGGCCCGTACCCGGGTAAAAAATATAGGGTATGGGTTTAATATGTTGGACCCGTTTAATTCACACCCATACTCAGCCCGACCCATTTTTTGACGAGTTACACCGGTAAACCCGCGGGTGCCCGCAGGTACCCCTTTTTTAAAAAGCTAAACCCTAAATCGCTAACCCACTAAGGCACTAACGCCACCCAACTCTAAAACAAACTTTCTCTTCTCTCTCGCGCCTCTGAATCTCTCATCACTGTCACTGATTCATTCTCTCAATCTCTCATCTTATCACTCTGTTCAGTGTTCACTTCAGTAGACTGTCATCATTCATCATTGTCATCATCAGTCATCACTATCATCATCAGTCATCACTCTCATCCGTGAACCGTGATCCCATTCCTAGACCCACTGTCGCTGATTGCCGTCATTCATCCTCGTCAGCTCGTCATCTCCTCTCTCTATCGTTGTCGTCATGATTGAAGGAGTTGGTTCTTGTTTTTGTTACCAGTGAGATCGGCTACTGAGCTCGTTTAATGTTCGATAAGGTCTCTAAAAGATGAAATCATGTGATTTAAAAACATTATTTTTTAAGATCTTTAGTGACCGAAGTGAGGGTTTTGACTGCTTTATTTGTTGCTTCTTCTATTTCTGTCATTTGAATATTTATATTAGGGTTTTGTTGTTGCTTTAGAGCTAGTTGAAGAGAGTAGCAATTTCATGGATGAGGATGGTTTATCGAACACAAACCGAGAAATTTTTCCAGCTCAAGGGCCAACCCTTCCAATATTGCAGAAGATTATATGTTTGAGCAATAAGATTCAGGTAAAATGGCGTTTCTTGTATCACTTTCACTTTATTTCTTGCTGATAGAAGTAGGATAGTTTAGTCTTATTTTAGGCAATTGAGTTTCAGAAAATGAACGATTTGTGTTCAGTTTATTTGTTAGTGTAGGTAATTGCTCTGTTTGGTATCAAGTTTTGTAAAATTTAGAGTCTTCTCTTTGTTTTTGTTTTTTTTATTGGTTTCGGGATTAATGTTGATGTTTTATGTTATTGGATTTGAAGAGAGATCACTCAAGTCTTTCAGATCAAGTGAAGAAAATGAATACTGATTGTTTTCCTGGCCCTGGTGTTTTAGACAATCTTAAGAATCTCAATGAGTATTAGATACTGATTTTGGCAATTGTTTCTCGCCTTTTTTTCTTTCTTTTGTTTTAATGATTTTAATTGCTATTTTTGGTATTAGGTAATGAATATGAGCTTTTAAAAAAGAAATACATAGATCAGTCCTCTGAATGAAAGTGGCTTTACAATGAAGTGATTGAGCTGAAAGGCAATATTAGGGTCTTCTGCCGATGTAGACCTTTAAATCAAGCTGAAATTACTAATGGGCCTAGTTCTGTTGTTGAATTTGACTCTTCTCAAGAAAATGAGCTACAAATATTTTCTGTCAAGTGAAGGTCAAAAGCTCCTGGAGTTCCATTGAAGTTGTAGAGCCTAGAGTGGATTGGAGAGCAAGAGCTTCTACCAATGGTGTGAGAGNATTAGGTAATGAATATGAGCTTTTAAAAAAGAAATACATAGATGAGTCCTCTGAACGAAAGCGGCTTTACAATGAAGTGATTGAGCTGAAAGGCAATATTAGGGTCTTCTGCAGATGTAGACCTTTAAATCAAGCTGAAATTACTAATGGGTCCAGTTCTGTTGTTGAATTTGACTCTTCTCAAGAAAATGAGCTACAAATTGTTTCTTCTGATTCTTCTAAAAAGCAATTCAAGTTTGATTTTGTGTTTAAGCCCGAGGACAATCAAGGTAATCCTTGATCTCATGAATGATTTTTACAATGCAAAGCATTTGCTATAATGGATATTGAACAGTTTAAATATTTAATCCTGGGTTTCTAATATATGCAGAGGCTGTTTTTGCACAAACAAAACCTATTGTGACTTCAGTACTGGATGGCTATAATGTCTGCATATTTGCATATGGACAAACTGGAACTGGGAAGACATTTACAATGGAGGGTACACCTGAAAATAGAGGAGTGAACTACAGGACTTTAGAGGAGTTGTTTCATATTTCCAAAGACAGAACTGGTGTCATGAGATATGAGCTATTTGTTAGCATGTTGGAGGTTTACAATGAGAAGATAAGGGACCTTTTAGTTGAAAACTCTAACCAACCTTCTAAGAAGTAAGTTCCCTCTGATCATTTACTCAAACACCACACTTTTATGTGATTTTATGTTATATGCTGGAGGACTGGCTGATTGTTATCACTTCCCTGCTGGCAACAAGCTGATTGCCAGACTTATGATCACTTGGCAATAGAAGCTACATTTTCTTTTTAGACCTCTTTCTCTGTGATGAATCTATCACATTTCTGCTCCTTCACAATTAACAAAAAAAAAAAAAATGCTGTTTTTTTAAGCTGGGCTATCTTTGAGATGATTCTAAAAAGAACTGGACTAAACAAGAGCTTCTTTTCTTTTTAAGAATTGGGGTGGAATCTTTTTAAGAATTGTGTTGCAACAGATAATAATTTTGAAGTAATTAATGTTAATGTTACATGGATGAAGGTTGGAGATAAAGCATGCAGCAGAAGGAATCCAAGAAGTGCCAGGACTCATTGAAGCTCGAGTCTACACTACAGAGGAAGTGTGGGAGCTCCTCAAGTCTGGAGCCAAAGCCAGATCTGTAGGATCCACTAACGCTAACGAGCTCAGTAGCCGATCTCACTGGTAAGTTTTAATAGTCCTTTTAGGGTGATTTAGACAAGTTGATCAAACAAAGAGGTGACCAAAGCTTTCATAGATTCTAGTAATGACAAAAAAATTGTCTCTGTAGCTTGTTGCGAGTGACTGTGAAGGGGGAGAATCTAATAAATGGACATAAGACTAAGAGTCACCTCTGGCTGGTAGACTTGGCTGGTAGTGAGCGTGTGGGGAAGATTGAAGTTGAAGGTGAGAGATTGAAGGAATCTCAATTTATAAACAAATCTCTCTCAGCACTTGGTGATGTTATATCTGCCCTGGCATCAAAATCAGGCCACGTTCCATACAGGTTCCTCTCTCTTTCTCTCTCAGGTATCTGTTCACTGCCATATAATTGTTATATCTGAAATGTTTGTATTTTTATTTGAAACCAGGAATTCAAAGCTTACTCATATGCTACAGAGCTCCCTAGGTGAGTGTTTTGTTTTGGCATTTTTACATTCAGATTTGATCCTCCACAATTTGGTTCCTGGCAAGTTCTGAGGTTAATTCCTCTGACAGAATTGCTTGGTACTTGGGTTGTGGAGAATTTGAATACATTTTTAATACTCCTTACCATCCCCATTGGTCATTTATTACATTTTTGTTTGCACTCATGGGTCTTCTTCTCAAGGAATATTTCTAACTAGAATATGTAATGCAGGAGGTGATTGCAAAACTCTGATGTTTGTCCAGATCAGCCCAAATTCTGGAGACCTCGGGGAGACCCTTTGTTCTCTGAACTTTGCCAGCCGAGTTCGGGGAATTGAAAGTGGTCCTGCTCGCAAGCAGGCTGATGTGTCGGAACTCTTCAAGTACAAGCAAATGGTATGTATTTTTCTCAAGTTTGTGCACAATTTATATTGCTCCCAGACCACGAAACTCAGGTTTTTTTATAATAATAGGCAGAAAAGTTGAAGCAGGATGAGAAGGAAACAAAGAGGTTACAGGATAATTTGCAGTCTTTGCAATTAAGGCTCGCTGCCAGAGAACATATCTGCAGAAGTCTTCAAGAAAAGGTAATTATCAGGACTCGAGGCCTTGTTAAAAGCTTACTATCGTATCTTTGTTAATTTGTTAATTTGTGCATTCAGTAATTTTTTTCTGAACTGGTTATAGCTTTCTCTGTAAGATATGTGCTGGTCAGTTCTTTGCATATAGGCATCTTTGGTATTTTAGTGGCTATCTTGTGTTATCTTCATTGTTGATTTCCCTAACCAGAACTGTTACCGAACTTTTACTACAGGTCCGGGACCTTGAGAATCAATTAGAAAATGAAAGGAAAACCAGAATAAAGCAAGAAACCAGAGCTTTTGCGGCTGCATCTACTCAGTCTTCAGGACTGTCAACTATAAAAGAAGCTGCAGGGAAGACAATGACAGAGAGAAAGCCTCCTTTGGGTCCTTCAAAATTGAGGATGCCACTACGAAGAATCACCAATTTCATGCCCCCGCCATCTCCTGTCCCACCTCGGAAAACCACCACCATTAGACACAGAATGGCAACTTCAGTAGATAAAGAAAACAATAACAGCACCACCATTAGAAACAGAATGGCAACTTCAGTTGATAAAGAAAACATTCACAGCAACAGAATGCCAGCAACAAACATCAAAAGCCTTCTGAAACCAAGACGTATTTCCATCGCTGTCAGACCTCCTCCTTCTGCAACATCAACAACAACACAAGTTATTCAGCCCAAAAGAAGAGTATCCATCGCAACCCTCCGGCCAGAGCCAAGTTCATACATGACAACACCACTCCGCCCCTCTGTCTCTCGCTTTCAAAATGGAAGCACAATGGGCGGCAGGCAGTCACTCGTGAGGGACCCTCGAAAGGCGAGGTACTCGAAGCTGTTCTCGCCATTACCAGAATACCGGACAACATCAGAGATTACCACACCAACTGCCATGAGGAGCAGCAGCAAGTTCATGGGGAGTCCTCCTACACAGGTCGCCGGTTCATGGAGGCCAAAGCATCCAACAGTTGTAGCACTGCAAAGGAAATCGCTGGTTTGGAGTCCTTTAAAGCTGAGAGGCATGAAAAATAGCAGGAGGTCATTATTGCCTTCTTCACATCCCACAACTGAGATGCTGCAATGAACAAGGAAAACATGCCATGTTTTCACCTTCTTTGTATTGTCAATACCCTCCCCTCCTCTATTAACGGGATAAAAAAAAAAAAAAAAAAAATTCCCCTCATTCTTCCTGTTCTGTGTTTGAATGAAGTTCATCTCCATTTCTTTTGCATTTTCTCTCTCTGTATTCAACTGTCTCTTGAGATTATACAATGTAGGAAATTATTCTAAATTTTTACAATGGAAAAAACAAGATTCTTGTTGGTTCTATGTGCATGCCACTGCAATTACGTGACAACGTTCTTATAAATTGATTATACGTACATGTATGTTACAAAGAAAACTTTCTCATAATTATCATTAGGTGGCCTGATGGTAAAAGAGTAAAAGGAGATTTTATGAGCTTCTGAGCTTGAGTCTTTATAGGCCTTAATAGGGGTGATCAATGAGGGAATTTCAAGGCTTCGAAGGATTAATTGAAATACCCGTAAGCTGATTCGAGCACCCCCGTAAATATTTACTTAGATCTTCCCGATTGTTATTGTCAACCGTACGATGGAGACAACTTCTAATATAAAAATAAAATTATTATTATATGTTTAAAATAATACTATAGGTTCAATTAAAATAAAAAAAAGTTAAATTCCACTACAATTTGAAAAATTAAATATAAAAAGAAAAAAGAAAAATTGAAAGCTACCCGCTTGATGTTTAATGTCATTTACTTATTTATATAACGATATTTATTTTTCACATTTGATATTTGAATTTTACATCTTAAATTCCATACTTTAATTATCATACACAAAACTTACGGAAATTAACGGCACAGATCCGATTCATACCAATTTTGATTGATGACACGTGTACTCCTCCACAAAAAATATAATAATAAAATACACGAAATTTAAAAAAAAAAAAAAAAGTAGCCGTTTGTATACGTTTTCATAGGATGATTAGACCGTTGGGACGAAAAGATCCGTTACCACAGTTCCACGTTCAATATCTGCTCTGACTTTTCAGTTTTCACTTCAAGAGTTAAAACTCAAGACTCTGAGACTGATAGTGAAAGACAGAGAGTGAAAACCCCAGTTCGAGTTACTGGTTGATGGACCCTTAAGAGAGGGAAGTGGGAAGGAGCGGAGGAGGCTAGAGGAGACCCACAGCGGCTTTTTTTGGTTTGAGCTTTTTGAGCGAATAAAAATGGTCGCAAGAACCCCACCAAAGCAGAGGAGAGTTATGGCTCCTCTCAATCCAAATCTAATCAGAGAAACTGTAAAGAAGGTACTAATAACTGTTAAATATTCGTCAATGTGCTTGCTGGGGTCTTCAGTTTTATTATTTTAGATGTGACAAGATGTGATTTCTTTTTTTAGTGATTTAGCCCAGTAAGGAACTGGTTTAGAAATTTGTTTGTTTCTTTTCATTTGCTTCTTTTTCTCGGCAACCAAGTTGAGAATTTTGTCCAGACTTGTGGGTTTTTTTTATCCTTTCATGGTGTGACAAATTTTGAGTTCTTTTTGTTTCGTTTATTTTCCCGCTATTTCATTCTTCTTTGATTGATACCTAGATTCAACTGTGTCGACATGAACCTTTATATATGTTCCATCTAATGCATCCAAATAGTTCTAGCAGGCAAATAGAGGCAGAAACATAAAACATAAGTATATATGCATAATGTGCAACACAATAACATGTGAACCTTATACGATGGCCTAGATTTGACCTTGAACCATTTCCCCTGCTCATCGATTGAATTCTCTGGTATTGGCTTTGGTTTTGTGAGTAAAATTGTATGCAATCTCAAAACAACATTCATACAGAATTTGTCTCACCCAATCTAACGATGTGTCTTTCTAACCCTGTTCTTGACATGGTGTGCAACTATGTGAAGAAAACTACCTACCATTTCCTTTACTGATGTATACCTAGTTGACTGTAACCTCCCTGAGTTTTGAGTAAATAACATAACTTCTCCAGGGATTTGCAGTCCATTCTATAATTCTCTAGACATTGCAGGTCACTATCATAAAGAATTTCCTATAAATTGATTGACCTAATATGATATCTATGCCCAATTCCACTCCCAAACGCTATAGACCGCTGAGTGCTAAAGCATGCCACAACAAGGAGTAAGCATGGTACATGTTTTCCATCATGTCCAAGTGCATAAGCATAAGTGTGAACAAATGCTCTTCTGCCTTAGAGTTGAACGGTCATAACGGTTTCACCTATTCCATTTACGAAGAATTGATCAATACAACCCTAAATAGTGTGAACAGTGCACAACAAAAACAAAATCATGTCCACACACATCAGGAAGTATAGCACAACAACTATCATTGATATGGTTATTATCCACCGTCGTGAACCAGAAAAATGAAAACAAAGAAGCAAAAACAGTTACACAAATATCAATATCTTTGGTTATTATTTACGCCATTCTATTTGTTGCCTTGATAACTACCCTAGCATATCAAAGCTTTTCCAAAGGGAAACACTCTCTCCTTACACTAATATGTGCACACACATTCACAGACTCATAGAATTATTTTTAATACAAGGCTTTTCACCAAACAATTAACATAGGAACAAGGTAAATACTAACTTTTGCTGAGTATATGTGATTTATCGAGTGGCTGCAATGTGAACCTTTTGAAACGTAATATGACCAAACTGTTTGGAGTTAAACCGTCTTTCTTCTTATGTAACTAATGTGAAGTATCAAACTAAACCCTAAACCTGTCATCCACGACGTAGTTGAGATTTTCGTTGTTAAAGTGAAATTGTTCATTATCCTCAATTAAAACTAATCTTTATCACTTAAAAGAACAGGATAATGACAATTTCCCACCCAAGGTTTGGCCTAACGACAATTTCTCACTCAAAAGTTTCAAAAAGACACTTTCTCACTCACCGTTAAGATCCGTTAGTGAAATATGTTTTGAAGAAAGGCGGATGGTCAATTTACATGAAGCTGCAAAAATCAACATTTAAAAATTGAAATCTCGACCTGACACACAGTTACGACAACGACTGGCCAAAAAAAAACGTTGAAAGCGGCGACTGGCGACTAGTTACGCATCAAGTGGAAATGGGATTAGGATTTTGGCTTATATAAAAAGGTCAAGTTATAGTGTGATATCATCGCAAAAATATTTCTCTCTACTCCTATTGCAAAGGGTTCTTACCTATAGTTTAGAGTTTTTTTGTATTCCCTTTATTTTGGGTATTTCTAGTATAACTCAAAGTTTGTTATATTCTTCAAGAATAGTAAAAATGTTCTACAACGCCCGAAGACGTAGGTAACATAACGAACCTCGTTAATTTTTTGATGTTCTTATTTTTTGCATTTATTGTAGCCATTTATTTCTACTCTAGTGTTATATTATATTTTAACAACTAGTGTTAATTTGTGTTTCCGCTACACAACACTAATAAATGGAGTTGTAGATCACTTTCTATATAAAATACTTGAAGTTAAGAGAATCAATGAGATATATTTGCAATACGAAGTCTTTACTTTTATTAGGACCCAACTGCGAGCACAACATTATAATACTGGCTCTTGGGGCATAGATCAAATATGATTTGTATTAGTGTTCATCAAATATGCTTTATTAGTGCTCATCATATTATACTTACTAACATAATGAACAAAATATATCAACTGACCCCAGAGTTTATTTACATAAACTAAATAACACTTACTATATTCAATAAAGTCAAACTCAGTTCACCAATGGGCTTCAGAATCTACACATTTAACTTCAAAAGGTTGATTACATTAGATTGTGAAGGCAAAGTCGAGGAAACATCCAGGAGATAAGCAATTTGGTGATACCGCGTGCTTTACTTGACAAATTCTCAAAAGCAAAAATATATGACCTTCTTAGTGTTAGTGACGTGACCTTTTTAGTGTTAGTGCCATGACTTCGTTTGCTGTTGAGATATATGTACAAATTTTCATGTTGCTTAAATATTAGTCTCCATGATTCGAGGGTTTTTTCCCACCGCGGCTAAATATTTTCATTTTCTTTCTATTAATAGAGACAATTAACAGGAAAGGCAAAACTTTACCTACTCCACTTAGTTTAATTTGGCTTCACTAATTGCTTTGTACCTCATATATTAGTGCTAGTGCTAATAATTTCCGGCAAATAATATTAGTGTAGAGCATGCATGCACTAAAAGAGTGATAATTTGAACTAGTTAATTGTCTCTATTAAGATTGTCTGTGGGGAAAAAGGAGACATGGGCATTATCATTCATCATTTTGCTCACAAACAAACGTCAAATAATTGAAGTTAAGAGACCCATACGTAAGTCTTTACTTTTGATTAGTGCTAAAACTTTTTCGTTTATTTGTATTACTTGAAAAAGTTTCTAAAACAAAGTAGAATTCAAACCAACTTATTTATCCACATTAATGTTAGTGGATAAGACTGGACCGCTATATATGTTTCAAGTATTGAGGCAACATGAATCTAGCTAGGCTTTTAGCACTAATAAGGTAATCCTTTCTCGTCAACTTACTTAAGATGTGTAATATTATATATATATATTAGTTGAAGGCCTTGGATATGTAAGTTCCCATTGTTTCCATGTCCGAATGCACTTATTTTCTCTGCTCTTTCATCTTCTCTTCATACAAAACTTCCAATGCCATGCCTTAGAATTAAGTCCAGCAACTTCACACTAGCTACTTGGCTTATTGGCTCTGTAATTCATAAGGTTTGGTCACTTTGGTATCTGTACATAATTATATCATGCTCTATTTTCATTTCTGATAAATATGTGTGTGTGTGTTTTTTATGGACTTTCTGTTTTTAATTAGTCTCAATCCTTCTCTGGAAGTGGAACCTGCATGTTTTTGCTGTTTCTGGTTGTTTGGTTTCACTTTCTACTGTGTTTGAGAAATTCACTTTCTTGTCAAAGCAATACATAAAATATACGAAGAGGGCACACTTTCTCTGTAATTTTCTCGGGGAATAAATTGCGCGACTTATCTATAATAGGGAGAATTATTCGTCCAAAGCATGCATTTCTCCATTGATTTGAGGTTTTTTTCTCCACCGCTGCTAAATTTTTTCATTTTCTTCTCATTAATGAAACCCCAAGCTGAAAACATTCTCAATACCCATTTCATTTATCCTTTTATTGATTTTTGCTCTCTTTTACTATTAGCTTTCCTCTTCACACCCATCACACTCTCCCTTAGTATGAGTCATCCCATCTTCTTGCGTCCTAGAAATTTTTCTCTTGTCCTAGCTTTGTCAATCCTAATATCATTCTTTTTACCACCCTCACATTTCTTAGTAGCCTATTTGTTTCTCATTATCTTGTCTCCATGCTAATCACTGCTAGGGGTATAATTCAACGTTTCTTCAACTGCTTCTTCACACTTTACGATCACTTCTTACCATCTTCATCACTTGGGTCAACCAAAACCAAGAAACCTAGAACTGGCTCTTGCTACAGTTGAAGAGATTGAAGACTTGAAGTAGGAGGTAACTTAATCGAGCATGAGCTAGAGCAGTTGGATTCATAAATAGGCAATTAGTGTCTTTGTAGAGAAAGGGTGATGGTTAATTTGTCATGCTATTTATGGTGTATGTATTTTCTATTTCTTTTACTTATTAATGTATTCAATAAAGGAATGTTTTTTTACATGTTTACATCCAACTCCATTGGATCGTTTATGGTTACTGGAAGCTATCGTCATTGGATTTTGATAAATTATATCTTAGTGAAAAAGAAATTTATTTCGCCGTTGGATTGCACCTATCTAATGAACATGGATAAAAAATTGAAAAAACAAAAAGTAAAAATGAACTACTTCATATATAGAAAAAGAATAACAAAGAATGGGATAACGACAATTTCCCACCCAAGGTTTGGCCTACACAATTTCTCACTCAAAAAGTTTAAAAATACACTTTCACTCACCGTTAAGATCCGTTACTGAAAACTATTTTGAAGAAGGGCGGATGATCAATTTATATGAAGTCACAAAAACCAATATTTAAAAATTGAAGTCTTTGTTCGTGTAGCGAAGCTTCGTTGAATGGTTGTCACGTATCAAAGACCCAAAAAAACAAAAAAAAGAACAAAAGGTCATTTACCTTCTCTATTGTTATTGGCTACTAGTTGATGACGATTGAGCAAAATTTAAGATGTGGAGGATTATTTTAAAATTTTACAATTTGGGGCAGTGAAGAGATTATGTGTAACCATTTTTTGGAAAATTAGGTTCTTCCTTATAAAATTCATTTTATTAGGAA